TTCTTTTTATCAGCTGTCACAGCAATCACATTAACAACTGGTAATTTTGGATGTAATTCCTTCTATTTCTATTCTATCAAATATCCTTCTTATCCTTAACCACCTAATTCCCAAGCAGCTCCTTCTAAATATAAACCATGGATAAAAGCACCAGTCTCAGCTGGAACTGTAACTTCTTCATGTCCTTTGGCACCTGTTACATTTGTTTATAAAACCATCTAAATAATATAAATAATAATATCTTACATCATCTAAAGGTAATCCTTATTCTCTAGCAGTCTTTTACATGATAGCAGTCAAAAATGACATAGGATTAAACAAATAACTAATACACAATGAAATAGGAGTAACCATTTCTTATGTCCAAGCTGCTAATTAGTTAGTTCTTTCAATTAAATCATTGAACCAAGCAGCCAAACCTTTTCTTGAGAAATAAGCAAATTTCTCCCAGTTAGCAGGTACTTTATTGAATTGTAATGATAGAGATAAAGCTTCCATTTAATCTGTTATATTCAATGCACCAGTTAAACCAAGTCTAAGATCTTCAAGTGATCTTCTGATTTCACCTAATAAAATATTCATTCTTTCACATTCTTATAAACATACAATTTGATCAGGTGTTTTTTCTGATGCTTTAGCTGTAACATCCATTAAATTAGTATCAGCAGGAGTTGTAGATTTTAATAATGTTAATTAAGTCATAACTCCATCATCTTTTTTACCTCCACCACCACTACTTGAACCACCTTAAACATCTAATATGGTACTGAATAGTGTTTCACATTATTAAGTTAAATAACCAATTTCAGCATTTGGATGCATACCAAACATTTATGGAGATTCAATTGGTAATTTCTTTTCAATGTATTCTTTATATTATTCATATTCAAATTTTGAAGGATCTGGTGATTTGAATCCTGGACCTAAATTAAAACCAGGTTATAATAATTCTGGTTTAATTAAGACTTTCAAATATGTAGCATTGGTTCTTCTATCCCAATCATCTGTAATATGACCACCATACATAATTTCACCAAAAATATATTTCAAATCATCCCAAGGAACAACATCATATTTAGATAAATAATTATACAAGACATTAGCACAAATTGTTAGATCACCATCATTAAAATTATATATTCTTGACCAACCTTAAGCACCAAACTTCTTTCTACCTAAGACTAAGGAATGGAAATGACATAAAGCAAATAAACATGCTTTAAATTCTTATGGTTTCTTTTAACATTTATTTAAGAATTCTTAATCAAAGTGAGCATATGCTCTTCTAAGATTTGCCTTTAAATCTTATGGTGCTTCATTAGCAACTTTAATAGATGCTTATAAAATAGATTCTGGAATAATTTTCATTTCGGGTAGAGGAGGAGGTTCTGATGAAATAAAAACTCTAAAGTTTGGATGATGTTTAGCATAAACAGTTTCAAGATATCCTTCTAAACCATTAAGACCTGTTAACCAATTTTACATTAAATGTACATTTTGTAACATAATCCAATGTCCTTATACAGCACAATCTAATAATGCTCTTCTAGCAATTTCTTCTTGACCTTGTCCCATAGAGATATTAATGAATTTTCCATTAAATGATGTAATATCATATTAGGCAGCTACTCTTTCAACTTCAGGTGTAGGATCTACTCCTGGGAACAATACAAAGAAAACAGGTGTAGTTGGAGCCATTTCATTAAATGTTTCAAAGATGGAAAATGGAGGTTATTCAACATACTTATCTCCCATCTCTTCAGCAACATAATTAGCCATAGCTGATGTTAATCTATCAGGTCTCATTGTTCTTAATAATAATAATCTATGGAATTTCTTAAGATGACTGAATGCCTTTGGTAAATCACTAATTTCAGCCTTTTCTTCATTATACCATTTCTTCCATTAGAGATTGTCAACTTCTAAACTTTATCCAAGGCCATTAAATTCAGGAATTTATTCCAAAGCTTTACAACATGCCCATATAGTATCATTCAAAAATGATTTCAATGATTCAGGCATAGGAGGTGGATTTAATTCAATTTTACCAATAATTAAATGATCAACTTATTCTTT